CTACAGTGATAAACTGACCTACTCTAATAACTAACGTTGTATTACTGAATAATTTTATTGAATTGCACATCGTTTGTCTTATACAAGGTGTAAACGTTAAAAGAATAAACGGCTACTAGAGGTTGACTCTTAATATAAATATTCTAATTTACACTTAATTTATCTAACGAATAAACAATATAAGAGCACAAAATACAAAGCCAATACTACTCTGATGCTGGTAATTACAAGCTGATTGAGTACGGCGTTGCGGAATGCATATCTCTACCAGAGACGGAATTGAATTTATCTGTACTTTCAACTACGTTTTCTTCAAAAACGTTGAACAACTAAATATTTATTTAATTTTCTTGTTTTATAGTATTCTATAACCTCCTGCAAGCTCGGCGCTTATTTTTGTTACTTCCTATGTGTATATAATTTTTATTTTTGTTAAATATTTTAATATTTACCACGTTGTTTCATGTTCGACTGCGGGGCGGTCAAAACGGTGCGTGCGGGTACCGTTTGCATGCGTCCAGAGTTGGCCCTGGGGACAAATGAATCTTATTTCAGACCATAAAGGTTATTATTCTTTTAGAAAATGGTTCAAACAGCGATTTCATTTTCAAGTTCATTTTTCTTTACGACTTAAATTTTTATGTAAACGTAATGCTGAACTTTATGTGGTTATGAAGACAAAATAAATACCGGAATTTGAAGATACAGGCATATACATTAGAAAATTTACATTTTGACAACATTACAAATATTTCATATTTATGAGCTATCGGAATTTTATTTGCCATCGTTTTACTGTGATACCTACAGACAGGAAGGAAATATAAACTATTAACCTCTTCTGAAATATGAGTAATATGTATGTATACCTAGTTAAAAATAATTGGATGGTACAACTTGACGTTTGAATAATATTAAACAGAAAAACAGATATTAAAATGATATTTTCTAAGCTATGAGACATTCTATATCTTTTAATTGTAATGTATTTAACCTAAAATAATTAAGTGTCACTGAATGGATGAATTTGCAAATGCCTAATTTTACTTTTCACATTGGTATATATGAGCAAAGCTTTGCCATTTTGTCATATTTAATATTCACTTTGTACTTACGAAGCGCTTTTACCCAGAAATAGGTTGCTGAGCTCAAAGTAAACCTCTTTGATTTCATGCAGCCATTTAATTAAATTACTATTAAGGTGAATCCGGTACATCCATAAATAAACTGCTTTTTGAGTTCGATTTCCTTTGGGAAACGAATTAAGTCCGAAGGCAGAAGATTACACGTATCTACCTATATCAATGTAAAGCAAAATCCAATCAAAATACACGTCCCCTTACTTGCGTTAGAATAAGGTATAGAAGAGATATACGTTTTTACGAACAGGTCTCGATACGTACAAATAAATTAATTATTAGCACTAAAACATACTATGCATACAATCTATTACATATATATATATATCGTTTGTAGAAGGGACCCCAATTTTCGCCTATTTGGTGGCCCTCGAAATTTATCTTCAAATAAAATAATTCGAAGTGGTCTGTATTCTGTCGAAACTGCCAGACGCGGATCGCGATTTCGATCTTTTTGGATCTCATCAGCGCGTCGCAAACAGCTCCGACAGAACACAGACCAACCTTTACCTGCTGTCTTAACAGCACGTTTTAGAAAATACCACAAATGGCGCGGTAAACGCCATCTGTAGTACGATGCTACAT